GCCGCCCGGGCCTCCGCTCGCTCAGCCGCTCCCGGCCTCCCTGCGCCGCCGCCGGGGCGAGCTCCGCGTTGGGAATATTCCCGGGGCCGCGGACCCTCCCTGGCCGGCCCGGCTGCCTGGGATACCCCCCGGGCCAGACACACAGATTTTAGGCAAGTTTTCGGGAGAAAAAACTTACCCATCTGCGCTCTGCAAGAACACGAGAAGAGATTTTAGAATTTATTGTTGAGAGTATAGGAAAGAGTGAGCTTCAATACCTTTCCCAGATCTCAGGAGGACTGAAGGGACAGCTCGAATTGTACTACTCAAGGACAGCACTTGGGACGTCGGCTTCCGAAAGGGTGACGGGGGTGGGGTGGGGGTGGGGGGTTCGGTGGCCTTAGGGAGGCCGTGGGCAAGGCAGGTGCAGGGGCCTCTGACTGCAGAGGGAATATGCCAAATAATTGCCCTAAACAGAAAGCTGTTGGGTTTTTTTTGTAATATTCTTCTCTGGGGAGCGGAGAGCGCACTACAGGCATCATTTCTTTCTCAAAACATCTTTCGGGCGGAAAGGAAAAGAATTTTACACCCCCTGTTAGTGCAGGAGCTGGCATGCTTAAAACAACCGCTGCCAAACCCACATATGCCAGGGTAAAGAGGTGGGCCACCCGTCCAGCAATGGGGTGAATTTTGGTGGCCCCAAAACGATAGAAGAGAGGAAAGGCTATGTTGATAAATGGGATGAGTTCCACCCTGGGGCCCACCCTGATGAGGAGACGGCCACACAAGGGGCCAGTCTCTACAGGGTAGGACAACTGTCATGGAAGTCGGAGTTGAAGCCAACTAGAATAAACATACACTAAGAAACAAAAGTACGGAGCAGGGTAACCAGCTAACCAGGTAATGAGCTAGGATAGGTACCGTCCTGAGGTCTGGGGTGGAGTGCAGCAACCCTGGGGGGCTGTTGCACCTGGCCTGCGGTGGAAAGAGAGGACAGTCCGTTCAATAAAACAAGCCCATAAATAAAAGCTTTTAACCTTTTTGGTCACTGCCTTCTTTGAGATTATATTCCAAAGCTTAGGGCTCCCTTTTCAGCAAATATGTATGGGACAGGTAAAGTTTGGTATAGATTTCTTGGAGTTCTTAGACCTCTTCAAGTTCTAAGGAGTGGTAGAAGGGATTAAAATTTTTAACAATAATCTGGCTGGGCACAGTGGCTCACACCTGTAATCTTAGCACTCTGGCAGGCTGAAGCAGGTGGATGGCTTAAGCTCAGGAGTTCAAGATCAGCCTGAGCAAGAGCAAGACCCCATTTTTACTAAAAAACTAGCCAGGCATTTTGGCAGGTGCCTGTAGTCCCAGCTACTGGGGAGGCTAAGATGGAGTGGGAGTGGAGGGGTGGCCTGAGACCAGGAATTTGAGGTTGCTGTGAGCTATGATGCTATGGCTCTATCCAGGGTGACAGAGTGAGACTCTGCCTTAAAAAAAATAAAAAAAAGTTCTAACAGTAATTAAATAACTATCCTATTTAGGTTTATTCCTTCCTCACTTGTACCTCCACCCTCTTCTTCAAATTCAGACATAAAAACCAGAATATGTTTTATATATTTACAAAGAAGTAAGCATACTCTTTTGTTCCCTAGGCTGGGTACTCATTGTTCCTTTTTTTTTTTTTTTAAAATACCTTTTAAAATGTTATTCCCAAAGCCATAAGGGCAAGTACTACATGAACTTTGAATATTGTTCATGGCTTGGAGCAGAAAATGAGATCTTATTATGTTAACCTATGATGAAATCAGTGAGGGTGTCATCCCAAGGAGCAAATCCCTGGGGAAGATATTAACAACTGAGCATTTTCAGTTCCAGTAGGAATATGAGCTCGGTTTACTGAAGAGAATATTTTTGATATAGCTAAGAATAAAATATCTCAAAGTCATAGTATTTTAAAATAGCATTAGTTTTTCCTTGAACTTCTTTACCTGACTTTCCAAAGATGGTGATGGCTAGGCCTGTCCCATTAACTTTTAGAGAAAATCAGGATTTATTTCCTCTCCACTTTGTACAAATCAGCACGCTTTTATGTAACCCAAAGTAAAGATCTGTAATTAGCATTGATTATAATATTTCATTAAAATGGGATTGCTTTAAGTGGTAGGTGTCTGTACTGTAGCACCCCCTTATCTTCAGGGCCTGCATTCCAAGACTCAAAGTGGATACCTGAAACTGACAGTATTTAACTGTATATAATACTATGTTGTTTTGATCTGATAACCAAGAGGGCTACAGAGTGTCTAATGGGTAGATATCTTAGACGGCGTGGATTCGCTGGACAAAGGGATAATTCACGTCTAATGCAAGATGAAATTAGGTGGCACAAGATTTCATCATGCTACTCAGAATGGTGTACAATTTAAAACTTAGGAATTGTTTACTTTGGAATTTTTCATTTAATATTTTTGGATCTCAGTTGACCAAGGATAACTGAAACCACAGATAAGGGGGACTAGTGTATTTGTCAGCTTGGGCTGCCTTAACAAAATACGGCAGACTGGGTGGCTGAACCAAGGTATAGCAGTCAGTTTCTGCTCTTTTCCTAGCTTGCACAGAGCTGCCTTCTTGCTGGGTCCTAATGTGACATGAAGATCTCTGTCTCTTTTTCTCAATCCTTCCACTTATAAGGCTACTAATCTTATTTGATTAGGGCCCCACCCTTATGACCTCTTTTAACCTTATTTACCACCTGTTGAAGGTGTGATTTCCAAATACAGTCACAGTGGGACTTAGGGCTTCAACATATGAATATGGAGTGTGTGGGCGAACACAATTCAGTTCATAGCAGTATTGTTTTTATTCAGATATAGTGTTTGTGTTGGGATGTTCTGGAATGTTCTCCAGGAGACCTACTAATTTCTCTGCCTCACACTTCAAACCCCCCAAAGCTTCAGAAGCACAAGTTTACGTGTTATTAGAGCGAGGGAAAACCAGTCAAATGTTCAATGACGTCATGCAGGTCAAACATCTTATTATGTGTCCAATCTGAAATCTAATTGATTATAAAGATTAAATCTTAATCTTTAACAAAGACGGGTAATTTGGCCAGAAAACATCAAATAACCTTGACTCTATTCTTAAAACGTTCATTCTGAAACTATCCTGAGAGGAATAGCATTATGAAAAGTTTGATCTTTGGCTCGGTGCCTGTGGCTCAAGTGGCTAAGGTGCCAGCCATGTACACCCAAGGTGGCGGGTTCGAATCCAGCCCGGGCCTGCCAAACAACAATGATGGCTGCAGGAAGCAAAAAATAGCCAGTGTTTGTGGCGGGCGCCTGTGGTCCCAGCTACTTGGGAGGCTGAGGCAGGAGACTCACTTAAACCCAGGAGTTGGAGGTTGCTGTGAGCTGAGATGCCACGGCACTCTACCCCGGGGGACAGCTTGAGGCTCCTGTCTCAAAAAAAAAAAAAAGTTTGATCTTTATTTAGAGCTCTGCTATTCATTAGAAATACAATATGCAAGCCATATATGTAATTTAAATTTTTCTATTAGGCACGTTCAAAAAAAGTGAAAATAAACAGATTAAATTCATTTTAATAACTTATTTAACTGAACACATTTTGACACAAATCAATAAAAGAATATTATTGAGGTAGGCTTTTTTTTTCTTTTTTGAAACAGAGTCTCACTCTGTCACCCTGGGTAGAGTGCTATGACATCATTGAAGCTCACAGCAAACTCAAACTGTTGGGATCAAGCAATCCTCTTGTCTCAGCCTCCTGAGTAGCTGGGACAACAGGCACCCACCACGATGACTGGCTAGTTTTTCTATTTTTAGCAGAAACTGGATCTTGTTCTTGCTCAGGCTGGTCTCAAATTTCTGAGCTCAAGGGTTCCACTGGCTTTAGCCCTCCCAAAGTGCTAGGATTACAGGCCTGAGCCACCACACCAGGCCTTGAGACAGTTTACATATATATATTTTTTGGTACGGTTTCAAAACTGGTGTGTATTTACATTTAAAGAACAAACCAAAACTACCCAAACCCAAACCAAAACTACCCAAACCAAACTACCCAAAATTCAAGCGCCTCATGTAGTTAGTGGCGACAACATTATACAGCTCAGATTTAAAGAAACTTTATCATTCGAACCATGCTATATACATTGATATGACTATAACTTGATTACCGTTTAATTATTTTATTAATAACCTTCAAAAAGGAGATCAGCAGAATGGTGTTATTGGGCTTGGGGCTTTTTATAATCCTTGATTGGATTCTCTGGAATTGAATATCCTGTCACTAACCAGATTCTGGGAATCC